GGTGACACGGAAACTGCCCCGAGGTTTCCGTCATCCGAAATTTCGGCTCCTGGTTGTTACACATGACAGACAGGGTGGGAAGTGATATGCCGCCCTTCCCCCTCCCCCTGTCAGGCCATATTGCGGTGTAGAAAGAGTCTCCAGGCGGGCAGGCAGGCTCGGGGCTGGGCGGTTTACTTTCTGAGGTTCCCGTCCATCCTGTCAACTGTAGCCTACGAATAGCTCTTCCGTAGATGACTCGTGTTCCGACAGGCTATAATCATCATTACATTTACATTGACGAAGGTCCTATCGATTTGGTGCTTGTCTCTCGCATCTTTCGTCTCGGACTCCGAAGTGATCTAGCAAGTCACTGGAGCTTACGGGTTTTTTGCGCCTAGATCTACCCTAAGATCTCGCCCCATCGTCGAAGAGGGAGAGAAGGGGATTCATGGGGAAGTACGTAACCTTCCGTCGGTTCATAGTACGGCATTCATTGGCATGCAGTGGGCCTTGAATATGAGGAGAGAGAGAGTAGATACTCATGTGTCAACTTTGAGGTTAATGGCAAGATATATAGTGCCAATGCCGGGTTCCGATAACGCCCCGGAGCCATTGATGGAGATGGGTCGCGACATTGGTCCACAGACCCAGCCCATTAGAGCTCGAAAAGTCCTGTATCATTTAGGCCAGCATAACAAATTCTATTGTTATTGCTGTGGCGAGAGGAGTAACTTACTCATGTATGACCTACAAGATGTGTTAAGGTACTATACAGTAACTACAGTGCTGTAGCCGCTCATGCCCCGGCCCGCAAGAACGGGACTGAAGGGGAGCGCCGGAGGAAGTACTAACCCAATCTGGAATAGCGCATCTCCGAATTCTTCCTGGAAGTCCATCATCAATTATAGTTGTTGTTGCCATCGACCGTGCCAAAAAAAAAAAGAGAGACAGCCCCGGACTGGCGAACCCCTCACTCTCACACCCCTTCTCCACCACTCCGAGTCCCGGTCTCTCACAGATTCAATGGCTTCAACACTGTCCACTCGCGCCGTCAGGACACTCTCCGGCCCCGCGTGCCGCACCCTCGCTCGTCCCAGCGCGATCGAATCCGCTCTCCTTCCGCGGCGAGCCTTGTCGACATCCACGGAGGCCGCGCCTGCCAGCCAGCAAGATCGGCCGCGGTGGTCTTACACGCCCGAGCGTGCAAAGGCCCCTTTCAGTCTGCGCATTGATTCCAAACGCCCGGCCTGGAACTCCAACTCCGACCCCAAAGTCCTCGATCGGTTTTACATCGGCCTGCTCGGCCCTGATGGCGACAAGGTACTATCGGACGAGGTCAAATGGCTGGCGGTGACGCACAAGAGTTTTGATCAGGGACGGAGAGGTTACAACGATCGTTTGGCTTTCTTGGGTACGTACGGGGGAAAAAGGGAGGAAGAGGGGGGACGAAGGGCTTCCTTCCCACTTTTACCGATGACATGACGGCGGCGGCGGCTAACCTTCGATTTTTCCTCCTGTCGATAGGCAAACGCATAGTCAAACTACAGGCTTCGCTGGCTTTGGTGCAGGGTCCAGCTGCCAGCGCCCCGACTCCGGACGCCTATGGCCGCATGCCCTTTACCCATCCCGATCTGGAGGGCTTGAGCAACCTCTCTTACAACGTCAAGAACTTCATGACACACAAGGCCAAGATGGCGCAATTGGCAAACAAATACGCACTCCAGAAGGTTTTGAGATGGTCTCCTCGGCAGGTGAGTGACTTGCGTTGGGTTGGAATGAAAACCGATGCTCTTTTTCCCCCTAAGCCCCCCCCCCGGTTTCTTATCATGCTACAATGGAGAGCGCACGTGAGATGGGGAAAACAGGCTGTGGCTAACGTGTGGTCTCTCAACCTCTCTAGCCTCTCAACCTCCAGGCTTCCGGATTGGAACTCGTTCTCGCCCACACGATGTACGCTATTATCGGCGCCATCTCGCTGGAGAAGGGCGGCGACGTCGCCAACAAGGTGGCACGTGAGCGGATACTCAAACCCCTGGGCCTTGGGCTCGAGGCATGAAGACGTCGGGGAGGCAGGACCGAATTTGAATTCTTCGGGGCAATTCTTCGCAGGGAGCATATCTAGGCGTTTATTTTCCTTTTTTGCCCTTTCTCTTTTGTTTTTGTCCTAGGGGATCTTGGTTCCCACTTGTGTACTGGGGGATCATCACTTTTCGTTCGACCGTATATTATGTATTTTTAACCACCACCACTACTACGACCTGTGCTAAATGGAACTGCAAATACCAACCCGCAAGATTTCTTTACTCGCTCCTGGATATTCGAGTACATAGCATGTAGCAGGTTAAGGTGGACAATACATAGATTAAGAGAAAAAGATAGGAATGTACGGTTCCTCTGACACCGCCCGAGTAACAGTAAGCAAAATACTCGGCCAGCTCTTATGGAACCCTCGAAAAATTCGATGCATCGTCTTCGCACCTTGGTATCGCAAGATCAGCCATGGAAAACCGAGACCAACCAACAGAATGTCGAGTTGAACTTGGAAATCGCTTGGATGCAATTTACACTGGCTTGCACTGTCTAGAAAGGGCGTATGGTACAAAGAAAGAAAAGAAAAAAAAAGCCGGAGGAAATTTGGCAGCAGAAATGCGAATTTATAGTGTGCTTGGTGTCTACTGCGCTAGACTTCTTTGAGAGTAGCTCGGCTCCCTGAGAAGGCTTAGCGGCACGTGTCCTGATGCCTGAGGCGTGGTTACTTACCAGACGTTAAAACTGGTAATCAATGGCTAGAATGCGAGGGGGTCTGGTGTAAGGTTTGTATCAGGCCAGACGGACAGCCGCAATCCAGCCCATTGACAACTTTAGGTATGAGTTCACTAACTGCCTTAACTCTAAGGTCAGATACACCAACCATCTTGTACTGTACGTGTATCTTGTTGCAGCGCTGTTGATGCTTCTCCTCCATTGACCTCAACTGACATTAGCTCAAACCCCTCCCCTTTTCTAGATCCAACAAGCATGTCGAGTAACTAGTGGTCTGGCTGGCCTCTCCCGTTCACACTCGCCAGCGTCTCTCTCCCGCACCGACTCCCCTTCCCATCTCCATCTCCTTCCTGGCCAATTCTCACTCTTGACCACTTCCTTACTCCTCCGACGTCGGATTTCTTCCCATCCTTGTCGCCATGGCGTCGGCTATTTTCTTCCTGGATCTGAAGGGCAAGGTAAAACTACCCCAGCAGTGCCTCCGTGTCCATTCTCCCCCCCCTGGTACCTGACCGTCTTAGTAGACCCTTCTAGCCCGGAACTATCGCGGAGACATCCCTATGTCCGCGGTCGAGAAATTCCCTATCCTCCTCAGCGACGCCGAAGAAGAGAGCTCCGCCGTCGCCCCCTGCTTCTCCCACGAAGGAATCAATGTACGTATCGACCTGCCCCCGCCGCAACGCCGCCGCCGCCGCCGCAGGTGCGGCGCACACACATGCACCTCCCTATTTACCCCCGCTGTTCCCCGCAGCCCGCACCTAGTTGCTGCTGGCTTCGTACCAGCATCACTCATCACCCCCCTCCCATACCACCTCAATGCGTTCTTGCTTGGAAACGTGGTGCCTACCGCAGCTATATTTGGGATTGGTTCGTTTTTATTGATTATGGCATTCGGCATAGTACCTCTACATCCGTCACAGCAACCTCTACATCCTGGCCCTGACCAAGAAGAACACCAATGCCACCGAGATCCTCCTCTTCCTACATAAGATCGTCGAGGTGTTTACGGAATACTTCAAGGTGTTGGAGGAGGAAAGTATCCGGGACAATTTCGTCATTATCTATGAATTACTCGATGAGATGATGGACTTCGGGTACCCGCAGACCACGGAGAGCAAGATCTTGCAAGAGTAAGTTTCTTGGATCGGTCTGCTGCTTGCCCAAATAAAAAAGCACATGGCAGATTTTTCCTCAAACAAAAACAGCGGGGTGCTGACTCGGGGTGCGCAATAAATCCAGATACATCACACAAGAATCACACAAGCTCGAAGTCCAAGCCCGACCACCTATCGCGGTCACCAATGCCGTCTCCTGGCGAAGCGAGGGGATCCGCTACCGCAAGAACGAAGTCTTCCTCGATGTTGTCGAGTCCCTGAACCTCCTCGTCTCCGCGTCTGGTAACGTGCTGCGATCGGAGATTCTGGGCGCCATCAAGATGAAGTGCTACCTGAGTGGGATGCCGGAGCTGCGGCTGGGCCTGAATGACAAGGTCATGTTCGAGACCACGGGCCGCGCCACGCGCGGCAAGGCCGTCGAGATGGAGGATGTCAAGTTCCACCAGTGCGTGCGACTCTCGCGCTTCGAGAACGACCGCACCATCAGCTTCATCCCACCGGATGGCGAGTTCGAGCTCATGAGCTACCGGTTGAACACGCAGGTGAAGCCGCTGATCTGGGTGGAGTGTCTGGTCGAATCTCACTCTGGTTCGCGAATGGAGTACATGCTAAAGGTGCGTTGACTATCCTGAGAGAGGGGCAGATGCGATATTCAGGGTTGGTTGACTAACGGCACACATCCGCTACAAACGACAGGCTAAAGCGCAATTCAAGCGCCGCAGCACAGCCAACAATGTCGAGATCCTCGTCCCCGTGCCGGAAGATGCCGATTCGCCGCGGTTCCGCACCAACATCGGCACCGTCCACTACGCCCCTGAGAAGTCCGCCATCATCTGGAAGATCAAGCAGTTCGGCGGCGGCAAGGAGTTCCTGATGCGCGCGGAGCTGGGACTGCCCTCCGTCAAGGGCGACGACGAGCACGGCGGCGGCATGACGGGCGGCTTCGGCGGCAGCATGGGCGGCACCGGCCAAGGCAAGGCCAAGCGACCGATCAACGTCAAGTTCGAGATCCCCTATTTCACCACCAGTGGGATCCAAGTACGGTACTTGAAGATCACCGAACCAAAGGTATGTTGTAACGTCTTACTACATCCATTATAGACTTCTTGAATAGTTCGGTTCCCGCTAACCCGATGGCTTCGATAGCTACAATACCCTTCCCTCCCCTGGGTACGATATATAACCCAGTCGGGCGATATCGCCGTCCGCATGCCAGATGTACAATGATGTATAGCGTTTTCCAACCCTCCCACCCCCACTTCGCATGTACCGTCTTTTTTTTTTTTTTGTCTCTTCTTCTAGTCCAAATCAGATCTATTATAAATACTTTCTCCCCCCCCCCTGGCCCATGGATTAGCCCAGTACCTGGCATTCCTATACATAGACAGTCATGAAAATAGTATGGCTGTCGTGCTTTTTTCCCCTTGCTTCTTCTTTGAGTGTTGTTTGGGTAGGAAAGAGCCGGACGCCGGAGCAGCCCTACTCGCGACCTCTTTTCATTTCTCTCGGAAGTATGGTTGTATATCCCTCTTTCTATGTCCAGGCGGAAGTATTCCGTACTCAGGGTTTGGTAGTGCTGGCTTTGTAGTGTACATTCGCATCGTTGTCTCTGCTCTGCTGCCTCTTAGGTCTCAGGGCTCAGGTCTCAGGGCTCAGGTCTCAGGCCTCGAGCTCAGATGGAGAAGAATTAGCGGAAACGCTAACGGTGTTTGGTCGGCATCGAAGCCATCGTCGGCGGGAATTAGAATCGAATTCGGCCGAGAGAGAGCCGCCGGATAGACCATCCGTAGGGTTGATTACTAGGTACTTACTTACTCATGACACCACCTACTAACTTAGTGACTGGACACCCAATTGTGATTCCTGAAACGATGTAAAAGAGGATGACCCTAGGAAGAAAAGGAAGGCGGGCAGGGAATGAGAGGATTGAGAGAATATATAGAGATATGTATGTAGGCTATCGAGTTCTTGGGAGAATCAGGTATAGGAATGAATAGTTGGTGACGACTATGCCAAAGCATGCTCTGCGTGGGCATGGGAGAAGGTAAGTAGTGGGATGTGGTCGAAGAAGCGGGGAGCTTTTTATTTGTAAAGGATTTTTGGGCTGACAAGGCTTGGATACATACACAGATACATACAGGACAAAGGCTTAGGAGATTGACGATGCGGCGCATGCTAATCAGGTTTGGAGATTGAAGGGTATCTTTGAAGGATAGGAGTGTGGGGGGGAAGGGGAGTTGCATTGTGTGGTTCAATGCAGGCACTGAGATTTCTCCGGTCGGGGCCAGAGGAATTGGAAGCGTGGGAGTTGGCTAGTGGGTGTGGTGTCTAGTTTTCTTGGTGGTGCAGCAGGGTCGTTTGGGATGGGCTGGGATAGAGGATATAGGGGGGGTAGGGAAGTTAGAACCTCCCTTTTTGGCCCCTTTAGACAGGGGGATATGCTCCTTGTTATGGTGGATGTGAAGGTGGAGAGCCGCGCATACGCTTCTTCCACATCGGACGGACCGCGTGTCATTGCTGATGAACTCTTGATAGGGAGGTCAATTTGACCTCTTGGTCCATTGATTTAATGGTAAATCAATCATGCGCCCCATTGGTCCCGTCGGGCGATTCGACGGTAGGGAGCGGGAATCCATCGCCGTGGCCGGTGGCCGCCGCTTTGGAGAAGCCCTCGCGGGCGAGCATGGTGTTGAGGACGGCGCAGTTGTAGGCCGCTTCGCCGGGGGGCACCACCAAGAAGATGTAGGTGTTGTCCGTGAACCGGCCGAGGAAGACGTTGAACTGCGGAGTCTTGGTGTGCATGACGACGAACCCCGCGGACGCGGGCGTGGTGTGGGTGTTGCGGGCGGCGCAGTGCTTGAAGGCCTTCATGATGTTGGAGAGGCGCTCGTGGCGGTCGTAGATCGGGTTCATGTCGCCGATCTCGGATGACACGGACGTGACGGTGAGGAAGGTGGAGCGCTCGAAGAGGATGACCTCCTCGGCGTCCACGCGTTTGGCGAATGCGTGGAGGAACCGCTCGATGACCGTCAGGTTGGGGATAAGCTTGTGAACGATGCCGGCCCAGGCCTTGTAGAGAGACTGATCCCAGATGCTGCTGCCGAAGGTGTCGATGGAGAAGTGCTCCGACCGGCTGCGGATCATGGCGGATCGTTCGTCGTAGATCCGTTGCCGGTGCTCGGCCTGAATGAGGTCGAGCTTGTGAACGAGGCAGAAGACGTGGGCATTGGGGCTGTACTCCTTCAAGGCATTGATGATGGCGTTGTAGGTGTCGAGGTCGCGCTCGACCTCGCGGGACTCAATGTCGAAGACGTAGATGAGGACGGCAACGTCGGAGAAGATGTTGCCTCGTTGGGAAGCGAGGTAGGTCTCCATAAAGGCATCTTGTCTAGAATGAGGATCTTCGGTCAATGGATGGATTATTCAATGCAAGGCCCGAGGTGTTGATTGACCTACCCTCCGCAATCCCAAAGGTTAAGCGTGAGGTTCCCCATGAACTTGACATGACTATGCTCGACATCAATGGTGGCACCCAGGCGTCGGACATCCTTGGCCACGTAGTTGCTGAAGATAATTGATCGCATAGAAGATTTCCCCGAGCCACTCTTCCCCATCAGAAGAACCTTTCTCTTCTTCTTGCGGAGATCCATATTTGGGGGGGGGGGATTACTATCCCGTTGACCGTACCCCGCACTTGAGAGAAGGATAGAATCTCAGCAGGAGAGATCAGGAATGAGGAGGAGAGAGTGCTAATCAATGGGAGAAGAAAGGTAGTTTTCATCCATCTGAAAGTGGATCTTGCAAGGGGAGACTGGTAAGTGGGAGTAGAGAAGCTACAGAACGAAGGCTCGCTCAAGCAAAGGGCCGGAGGAGTTGCCCTCCCCGTCCTCCTCAAGCGTCATCGCTGTTTGGGTCAACAATGTTCCGGAGGCTGCTACCTTCCAGTCACGTGCAGTTACACGCATCGGGTCATTTCCATCTTAAGCCTGGAGACTCACACGTGGGCTTCCCCTCAAAAGGTAGTCAAGATATATCATAAAGACTGTACTGTATGTACATACACTTGTACAGTTGTGCAGTTGTTGATACAAGTACTCGAGAATCTCTTTGCGACTTCTTTCAATTCATTCCCCTGTAATGATTGATGTAGAATGTACAGACCAATATCCATGTGTACATGAAAAGTAAAATATCAGAATCCCCCCTAGTAGAATCAAATGTACAGCAGACGCCAATTAGGTATAACATTCAAGGCGTTCCAGTCCAGAATCGACCCGAATGGTGTTCTTCACACGCAGAGAGGGAGAACAGTAAATATGTAACAAGGCGAAGGAATATCCGGTCATCAAAGTCATAAGCACTTCCACCAGCCGTAAGGTAATCAGCAAACGCTAGCTGGCGGAGTCAGGTATCCAGGAAATCAACGAGGTATGCGATCATTAGAAAACAGTGCCGTCCGAGCGTATCATGATGGGAGGCTCCTTCGTATTGGGCCTGGATACTTCGGCAATCTCGCGGCCACCCTAGAGTTGCTTGTTAGCATGTTTTCACCTCAATAGGTATCAGACATGGATTTCCAGCTTACCTTCCATGAGCCTGCCTCTAGCATCTGTGCAAGTGTCAACTGGTCTTCTCCTACCAGCCCAAGCTGCCCGTTGACTTCTGACAACAGCTCGTCTAGGAAGCCAACAGTGACGGCACGCCACTCCACCACCACATCATCATCCGTCGAGAAAAGGGGCACAACCTCGACATTTGGCTGTCCTTTAATCTGAGCATTCTCTCTGTATGCCGTGAGCCCGCGCTCCAGGTCTTTCTCCTTCAGACTCAACAGTCCCATATCAATCAGGAGGCCGCCGTTGCGATATTCGGGAAGACCCGTCAGCAGTTCACTGCCCGCAAAGTGGATCTTCATCAATTTCGACATGGGAACCATGATGGAGTAGCAGAGCCATTGCGTCAATTTGTGGAACGGGACGATGTTCTCCCAGGGCTGTGCGGGTGGCGATTTAGGTAGATCAGAGCAGGGCCATGCGTCTCCGATAGACAGGCCGTCGATCTGCGTTCTCGAGGGAGGCCAGATCGGGGTGAGTCCGTCCATGAGCACACTCCAGAGGGTGGTGATAGGAACGATCGGAACGGACGAGGCGAGTGTAGACGGGTGGGAAAGAAGGTAATCTGCATATCGTAGGTTAGCCGGTGTTAGGCAGAAGACAGACCGGTCGGTCTTCGCTTACCTAGCAAGTTTCCGGGTCGCGCATCGACGCCGAAGAAGTCCTGGTTGTTCAAAGCTTCAGAAAGTCGGATCAACAGTCCAGCGCGACCTTGAATGCCTGCAAGCGGGTTCTGCTCCGAGTGTTGCATTCCCTTAGCAAGCACCTCCACGGTAATCTTCTTCAGCCCAGCGCCGTCCACCTGACAGGGTTCGGTGGGGTCGCTGCTGAACAAGCCACTCTTGAACATTTCCAACGTAGCTACTGCCAAGCCTTCGCTGCGAGAGTAGATCTTGCCCGACTCCTTGGATTTGTAGGACCATCCGTTCCCTGCGCCCGCATCAAGAAGAACGGAGACGACAAACAGATCGATCAGCCGACGGGTCCGTTCTTGCGCGTCAATAGTACTAGGCCAGGACTGAAGCAGTTGGTTGACGCGGGGTCGGCCACCCACGTCAAAGTGCTGCCAGCGTCCATGAGGAGGAATCGCGTCGTAGTCGGGAGCATAGTCTCTCTAGAAGGAACCAGCTTGGTTAGCACACCGAATCCTGAGACAAATACGACGGGGGGGGTCCCCAAAGTGCGTGCAGTTTCCTCTTACCTTGATGATAGATACAATGTACGAGGCAGTGGCAATGAATTTGCTCATATCAACATCAAAGTGGTTGAGTCTGTTTCTCTTCGCCTTGTTGAGAACGTATGAGCATCGTTCGCGGACGGCGTGGATGCTCCGCAAATAAGCTGCGGGATCCAGGGCTGGATCGGGCGGTTTGGCAATCGGCATCTCTGGTATGGAGGCAGGCAACCCGCTTCCCTTATACCCGGGGGATCTCAACGATGCACTCGAGGTACGGGCACTGTTGGCGGAGGCAAAGGATTCCTGCTCATCCTTCTCACTCTGGATCGAGTTCTTAGAGTCTTTGCGCTTGAAAAGACCCATGGTGGGCGGAGAGTGTGTTGGTTGGTTAGAGTGGGTGAGCGGGTGGGCGAGATAGATGGATGAAACAAAGCGCTCAGAGAAAAGGAAAAATAGTTTGTTTTCCGTTGAAGAAGTCGAGGATGGTAAGAACCGAGGAGAAAGAACGATAAAGTTCCAAGGCTAGACTGAACGTCTGGTGTCAGCAGCAGAAGTGCCGAACGCAAAATTGGGCACCCAGAAGAGAAAAAAGGTCGTAAACAGAACGAAGAGATCTGCAGTGGTTGCTCCTGGCGGGCGAGAGTGAGAGTGAGGGGGAAAGAGAAAGAGAGAGACTGGAGTGACGGAAAGGAAAAAAGGACAGGGCCCTTAGTTTTTACATATGAGTTTACTTTTGGGATCTGGCTAGCTGTCTAGATTTTGCTTTTCTTCTTTTAATCTGAATGTGAATTTTATTTTTGGGGAGGAGGGGGGGGAAGAGGGTGAATCATTTTTACATGAAATTACCATGTTTTCTTGTCATTTCTGTGCCTAGAAGGATTTTTCTTTTGTATTTTTATTTTTGTTTTTATTTTTCCATTTCTTATTTATTTTTTTTTCTTGTTCAAGGTTAGCAAATGGAGGGGGAAAAAGAGTCAAACTACTAATAATAAGGAGGGGAAGTAATAATAACAATAATAACGACAACAGCAACGACAGTGTAATACAGAGCGGGGGCAGTCGAGGGGAAAGTCAAGCTTAGAGAGCATTGGGAAAGTTAGGAAAGGTTAGGAAACTTAGGAACCTTAGCAGGGCTACTAAGACCTCCCTCATTGGCACGAAAAGGACCGGGTAATTGAGCCACGGCCCTCTCTACGGCGCAGAACCAGTAACCTAGTCGAGTCTCGGAGTCGGAGGTGGAGAGCTTGGGAGGGGGAAGTTGTTTAAACCGGCTGCATGGCGGATTTTAGTCTCTGATAGAGACAGATGGGTTTTGATTTCTCTAGTCAGTCTAGTCAGGGGGGGCCATACAGTGAGTGCATACTGCATACTGCATACTGCATACAAACCAACTGTTAACCAAGTAAACATAACATAACAGGAGGCAACCACCGACAGTCCATGGAGCTGATGTTCAGTCAGACCTAATATTTCTGGACCCGCAAACCAACTGGTGCTTTTGAAGACCTGAGAAGCTGAGGGGTCAATGAGTTCATTCAGTTTATACTCCGTAGTGTGATTGATGACCATCGAGGCAACACATCCGAAGCTAGTGATGAGGTCAGAGCCGTCGCAATCTCACCCTGTTCTTTATCTAAAGTCCTAGATTTGTACTTAGTAGTACTTGTAGATTGTAGATTGTGCAGTATGTACTACTGTACTGTGTGCCCTAAACCTCCTGCGATGCATGGCAGCTGCATCCATCTCAGTACCGCATACAGCTGCAATACCGGACTTTGCTGTATTATACAGTAAACTTCTTCTCTGGTACCATACCATACCTAATCAATACCTTCTCGTCACTACAGGACCACCCAGTACTCGTACTAGCTTAGTTGTCTCCAGCTTACTTTTTCAGGAGTACCATGCGCCCCTCAAGGCAGCTATCAAGTCGGCCACTGTGTTAACTCGTTGAGTGCCAATTTCCCAGGTATGGGGCATCTGCTACGGAAATGGATCCAAGAGGGGACCGCAAGACGCAGGTCGAAAAGGCCACCTTCAACCCCCTCCCCTCTCCTCCCCTCCCCTCCCCCCGTGCTACGGCCGACAGACAGGCAAGTCGGCTGTCCTGGACCCAGATCGATGGAACCAATGAAAAGTAAGTTTAACTAGTGAGGATCAGAGAAAAAACTGGTAGTCTAAGAGGAGCAGGGTGAGCACGGACAGACTCGCGCTCAAGGCTGTTCCGGGTCTTGGAGTCTTGTCTCTTGCGCCGCCGCCCTCTTTTCCCCCTCGCCCCAGTCATGCGGATCTAGCGGTTTGCCGGCAGCCATTTTCTTTCCACTCACTGCACATCAAGGACCTCGCTTATTTTCTGCCACCGTCTATCTTAACTCGATTAGGAATTACTACAATTGCATCTCATCTGAAAGAAATGGAAAGGAAAACAAAACCTTCAAAGACACCAAAGTCTGCGGGCGGGGCAGAAAGCGTAAATGGATATGAAGGGTTCTGTTGTCGTTGTTGGTGGTGGTGGTGGTGGTGGTGGTGGTTATTGTTGTTGTTGACTTTGGGGCTTTGTTGACTGCTGTGAGCGATTTCGGCGGATCTTCAGCACATACCCAATGAAAATTCAAAAGATACAAGCCTACTCAAGTGCCAGCTTCGAATTACCTTGCTGATTGACCGAACCTAATTCGACTTGCAAAAGCTCCCTGGTATCCGCGCGGATAACAGCCGAGCCCACCTCATTTGGGTTTCTACCCTATCGGTTGTTTTCCCCTTCCCTCGGGGACGAACACAGAACACAGCCCTGAGAACAATTGCTAGCGATGAAAAAGGCGACAACCCGAGGGCGTGCGCCGAGAGGTTAGCCAAGAACACAGGGGTTTTCGCACTGTGTGGGTGTTGGACGCGGAATGCGATACACTGACTGTTTCGCACTATTGACCCAGTAAGTAGAATCAACGCCCTTTCATTGCCAAATATGCGCATTTTCATCTCATAAGAGATTGACACACTACTCCAGCTTTGCCAGCGCTAGATGCCCCTAGCGATAATGACCAAGCTTTAGATCCACTGCCAGTGGCAAATCGGTCCCAGTCGAACCCGACACGGTGGCTGGAGACGGCATCAAGCGTCTGGGTACCAAGAAAGGCCTCTTGACTCTGACACATACCCGTCCATGGAGTCCGTCTTAGATTACGGATATCCAACCTTTGCCACATTTAGCACCCGGAATTATTGTATCACCCATCTAAGCCTCAATCCCAGACCCAAATAAGCTACTCGAGTAGGTCGGAGCCTCGGAGGTAACTTATCGGCCCCAACCGATGATCTACAGGTGAGTCCGTTAGCAGAAACATGGAAATCCGATGCTCAGGGTTTTCACCTCTATGCAGGTTTCTTCTCCCACTTGGTTGTCGGTCGCTGTAGCAGGCAAATGCGAGTCAGTGACCGGAGCCATTATAGGGGAGAATCGCAAATAGTTTGCTCCTGCGGGGCGCCGTTCCACACCAACTCGAGGATGATCATGGGGAAGAACCATATGACCCTCGAGTATTATTGAGCATTGACTACTTACTAGCCAAGGATCTAAGGCCCCTGCTTTCGACTATGGGCCATTTATGAGCATCACTTGGCCTTTGCACCAACTACTAAGGTCATTACATCATCCGAGCCGTCTCTCGCGTCCTTCACGGGTGAGTGCGAGTCGTCATGCTATCACTAATTCACTATTGTAGTGGCACCTCGAGACCTGAGTCTAATTCGGTACTAGCCTTTGTACTAGATCGGCAACTCTATTTGCATACTAGGTAGTCATCCACGAATGCGCGCTCCGAACGGGGACGATGCGCCGATGCGCGCGGCTATGGCTTGGAGTGAACCTTATTGACTCACGCTTCGGCCGGAACCTCCTCCACACCGGCGTCGATCTCAAACTGCAGCTTATGTGTGCGAGATGTGAGTTTGTGACAACCACAAGTCTACAACTCATGTTCGCGTCAATATGCAATTCGGCTGACATGTTTTGCTGGTGTGCGAATTGCCCGTGGGCTTTGCGCGACAGTACGTGGGTCGTCGCGTATCTGAACCATGGATCGCAACATGTCCAAGCGCCGCCAAAAGTTTGGAACGGGGATCTGCCTGGGGCAACACTGGGAACAGCTCTTGACCGTGCTCGTGTGTGTGGGACACATATCCACTGTCAGTGGATACTGGATGTCAATGCCCGTGTGAGGCTGTCCCGCTGCAGATGAGCCGATAAGTCTCCTGCAGAGCGGGACTCAACATCAGCTCTGGTGCCCAAACCTGTCAATGATCCAAGAGGCTGACTAGAGACGCTGAGCGAGAGTACTACTCGTAGCGCACTTCGGTCGCTGCTTGGCTCGACTGCGTTCAATCAGATATCGACGTTTCAACGCTACAAGCTGTTGATGTGGAGAGATGAGGTCTGCTAGCCCGTTGATGAGACTACCATTCGTGACAGGATGTACTGCACCATAGGAGGTATGTCGTACACTTGCTTCATATCTTCCCCACAGATTCGAGTGCATTGTGATAGGCTCACCGACTGATAACTGCCGCTTGATCGGACGATCATCGGTACATCCATGCTTGGTTATGTGGTCACCTTTGTCACTTCAAAACGCCCAAGCCACCGACGTGAGCTCGAGCTAGAACATGTCCGTTGCGATAAAAATCCCCGCATTGGGGTCTTTGTTGGCGAAATTATTAGGTGGTCTGATGTTCTATACATCCGTAGGACTTCACTGTCTTCTGACACTTATACTTTGTGGGCAACAATTTGGAAGGCCTGCAGGCACTCGAAAGCAGCGCCTTGTTTAATAATGCTCGGCTATTACTCGCCATACACTATGCGGTATGCCTTGCGCATGTTCTGATACCATGGGGACCGTGAATTCAGCCCGGTGCGCAGGAATACTCGTGCTCGGACATTACCAAGTACCTGCTTCTCGTCTGGAACGGGTATCATACCGCCCGCTTCTGACCCTGTTTTCAGCACCGTGGGTACAATACTATACCATGACTGACCCATGAGGGAGAACTGCCAACGGCTGAGGGTAAACTCAGTATGGTAAATCCATTAGCCGATAGAATAAATTTCCGAAGTGCATTCTCGCGCGTTCCCTCAAGTCGTAACACTGATATTGTCTCTCAACTCCTGTTGTCTTGTGTGGCCATAAGTACCATCCTCGCTTGTCGTTTTGATTCCCTGATCGGGGAACGTAATCAATCCTACTTAGCGGCCCCACCTCAGGGTACCTCAGGCTCCCAGCTCAAGTGGGAAAAACAACATGTGGCTGACAGGCTATACTATTTGCGCTCGGGTACCCAGCCTCTCTACCTCGGCCAAGGACATGCATCGTACGACACTGTGGACAGCTTTCTAAGACTTGACGTATAACTCAGCTAGCTCAATGGCTTCCGATCAGAGACACATGCTTGACCTCTTATAGCAAGACACTACTGCATAAGCATGTACTGTGTAACTATGTACTAGACCAAACAGTAGACCCTCCTGGCTTTCACCATGAGCCGGCGTGCCGCTAACGCAGAGGGACACGGTCCTGGCCGTCCTGCTGGGTCTGCCGGATTACATGCTTTAGGTTCATCAGGTAGGCGTGTCAGAATACGGGTACGTACAATGCGTTCGGTCCTGTATTTACCCAACTGTACGTATGCTTGCTCTCCAGGGAAGGAATGCACCAGCCACGCTGCCAATTTATATGCTAACCATCGTCAACTGCGTGGGTAGAGTACGTTGGATCCGTGACCTGCGCCATTAGACCCTTGAGATCTCTCAAATCGAGAACCTCGAACAACCACCATCGTAGGACTCCGGCTCTCATACATCCTTCCCTGGTGTGTCTCGCATAAAGCGCCTGGGTCATTCGACGAAAAGAAAAAAAGAGCAATCGACAGCGCTGGGATTCGAACCCAGGCACCCGAGGGTATGAGATTACTAGATCTGATGCGAGAAGCACACAGATGTTCAAGTCTCACGCGTTAACCACTCCGCCACACTGCCATAACTTGGAAAAAGTGCGAAAAGACGCCATACAGGATCCGCGTCGATAGTGCATCACGTGATACGCGATAGCTATACGATTGACCGTAGCCCAGTATACCTTATTGACAAAAAGCATATCGTAGTTACTTGCTCCTGGCTGTGTATTTTCGAGGGGAAGCCTGTAGTTGTGCAGCTGAGCAGCTTCTTGTTTACCCTTGTAAGAAATGGTCAATACCCCCCCGCAAACTCTATTCGTCGCAGTGCTTATCCACTCCGGGTATGATCACCGCCGTCAACTATTGGCAATGCGCGTCCCTCATCTAAATGGCTCCTGTCAAATTTCGATGGACGGTAATTCTGGAACATAGAGTACCTTGCTGGTACTTTGTATATTAACTGTTGCCCTGTCATGTGAAGACTTTTGAGTTCCAGCCATGATACTTGTCAGTTGCCAAATCGTTCGAAGCAACCCTTTCATGATGATAATCAAACACACTAGTTCTATGCCACAGATCTGAAGGCAAACCAGCCTTATAATTCAGACCTCCAGTTTCACCGTGAGAGCCTTCCCGCACAATTCTGCGAGTCTCGTGCATGCAGCACTCAATTCGAAGCGCGGAGATGAGCTTCATCGAATCTCCGTCGACACTAGACCCGAGAACGAACAGCGCACCAACGGAGCAGCCTGGAAAAGCTCTGGTCAATCTATCTTGTCATTACGAGACCTCTCGCCTAGAACTTCCCTTCACTGAGGGTTGATGATGCTGATGGAGTCACCGAGAGCCACCGGGACCCATCCATCCAGACCAGCTCTGCCCAATTCTGGCTAGGGTATATGGAAGTATGGACGGCATCGGAAAAGTTAGGGTTAGGATGCTAAATCTGGGCTGGAGTTTCCACTTTCTCCAGAACGAATTGCCGCGCTGTTTGGTCGGCGTCAGACCCGATTGCAAACCTACGGACCGTGTCATTCTCCCATTCGGGACGTCAGGATGTCTGTTCTCCACCGGCTGGAAGGAATCCACTGCTGATCTGCCTCCTTGTGCCGTGACAGATGGGCTTTCCCTGCCGCTCCCAAGGGTCAGAGCCGGAATCCCTGGTCAAGTCTTCTCCGGGAGTGTCTGTGACTCTGTAGCCGTAACTAAAGCGGTAGAAGCCCTCGTCTATCCTTTGCATATATCATTAATCTGCTGCATGGCACACTAATTCGGACACTCTGCCTACGTACAGTAGCATGAGTATGAGTCCAAATGGAAGCTCAGATCCTCGTCCAATGCGTTGGACACGATCTTACTTGTAAAAGACCTGATGTCTCTTCTACTCTCGTTTCCCCAGATGAGAACTTTTCCAATCTAGCAGAAATTTCCGAGACAGTCAATAATCCCTGCAAAGCCTGATCTAGCCAAAAGGGTCTCTAAGACTAGATTCGAAACCCAATGTCGTCGATAGGTTAGTAAGCGGCTACGGAGGCCGAACGCATAGTCACGTGGAAATGAGCACACAGCCACATCATCTCAGCCACGTCAGCCACGTCAGCCGCGGTGACGATCGCGGCCCTCCAACAGCCAGGGGAAGTTGGCGACAGCCGCGGATAAGGCCATCGGACTACTCTACCTACCATTTCTGACTCTGAATTCGGATGCAGAGCCTGACACTCTTTCATTGAACCCACTGTGACCTTAGATTGCGGCTCAGATCCCCAAGCTCGCCTCATTGCCGACTCATTCTACTCGAACCGCCCCCCGCATGGTATACTACGTTCATGGTGGGTTCACCCTCACCTGCGAATTACTTCTCCGATCCTAATTCCAAGCGTCTAGGCCCAAGCCCATTGATTCCTCACACCCGATCACAATGGATGACTTAAGCGGTCTGAACTGGGCGTCTACCTCGTCCAACAATGACGCCCGCAAGCCTCCCCCCATGAGCTCGGGTTCTTTATTCCAGAATGTCCGTCGCAGTGAACTATCTGGCCGATCCACGCCGTTATCTGCATCCTCCGGCCCCTCCAATCCGCCGTCAAAGTCCGCAACGCCAGATAAAGACAGCTTTGCAAACCTGGTCTCCTTCAATGCAGCTAGCGCGAACAAGAATCTCTCGCTCCTCGAACAACAAAAGCAGCTAGAAGCGGACAGGGCCAGAAAGGAGGCGGAGAAGAGATCCCGGTTCGAAAATCAATATGGGGGACAGAACAACCAGTTCTGGGACAGTCTTGAGCGAGGGGGAACCCCGGCAGCCTCGGTGCCTGCCACTGCCACGGGACAGCAAAGCGCAGCCTCTGCCGATGAAGATGATATACTTGCCGCCTTCAGTGCATCCGCACCCGTAGATGCCTCGACGCACTTTCCTGTACCTAGTGCAAGCCCTGCGCCGCCGGTCGGAGCAGGCTCCTCTCAGGCTAGCCATAACGGAGCAGGCGCACCGCTGCACGGAGGCAGCAGTATGGCTTTCCCCGACGACGACGATGATCCATTTGGCCTCAACCAGTTGAAACCTAAGCCCGCGCAACCATCGCAGCAGTCCCAAGCTGCCAACGATGATGACGATTTCCTTGGTTTGTTGGGTAAGCCAGTCTCTGAGCTTCCTCGGCCAGAGCCTCCCGCCAAACCACCTACACCCCTGGAGGCCGAGCATCATGCTCCATCCCCGAGACCTACAAGTGGGATTGATCACGCCATCGCGGAGCTTGTTGATATGGGATTCCCTGCGGATAAAGCCAGCCAGGCCCTGCGCATGACGTCATCTGGTACGGATGTTCAGGCGGCTGTTGGCTTGCTTCTCACTCAGGCGCATGAAGAATCCCGTCAGAAGTCCAGGAGTAGGCCATCCGGAGGTGATCGCGCCCCCGCTCATGCTGAGAGAAGTAGAGAACGGAATGAAAGACCTAGCCGCGATGTGCCCACGTGGATGCAACAAGAGCGGTCCCGGAGCAACAACCGCTCGCCAATGTCCGCGGAAAAGGACCCGTCTCAAATCGCAGCCGCATTTGGAAATAATCTGTTGAAGACAGCGAACTCTCTATGGAAGACTGGCAACAAAAAGCTGCAGCAGGTGGTCCAAGATTTCAATGTGGATCATGATCCCAGCCAGCCGCGATGGATGAGGGAGACACCCGCTCATGCTCATGGCGAACCTTCTGTTGATCGTCCTCGCGAAGATCGTTCGCGAACTTCTACGCAGCCCCAGGCACGGTCTGAAAATATGACCGATGAAGCATTATTGCTCGAGTCAGGCGGCCCAGTTCGTTCATCACGAAACCCTGCACGGTCGAACGATGGGCCTGCGCCTCGCACTGCCAGCACCAACGTCAGGCGACAGCCGTCTCCGCCAAGGGATCGGCCGGTACAACAGCCTGCGTTCATGCGGCAGACACCGAGGAGTGAAATGAGGGATCCGAGGTCCCGTTTGACAAAGTCTGCTGTGGAGGAGCAATCGGCGCAAGCTTACGTTAGCCCGGCAAGAAGAAAGCGCCCTGTCACTCAGTCCCCTGCCCCGGAGCCGCAAGTCGACCTGTTTGATTCCGCAGCTCCAGTTCCAGCTTCAGCTTCAGCTTCAGCGCCGAAGCCGAAACCCTCACCTTCGCCCGCTCAACCCTCGCGTACCTCCACACCAGCTAAAGCTTTACCCACCCGACCCAAGGCTCCGGCACGATCAATCCCTCCCGTGTCGCCACAAGCACTTTCTTCGACCCATCGTCAACGCGAAATCGCCGCGGATGCTTACAAGCGGGGCGACTATGGTGCCGCACACGAAGCCTTCTCCGCAGCTCTGACACCTTTGCCAGATACACATCCCATTACCATCCTTATCCGCAGCAATCGCGCCATGACGGCCCTGAAGGTTGGTGAGCCCAAGGTGGCAATCGGAGACGCGGATACCATGCTGGAGTTGATTGGCCCAATGAAGGGCGAAGGCGAGAGCATCGACCTCTGTAATGGCGAGGCCGCCAAGCCGATGAAGGACTTCTTCGGCAAGGCGTTAATGCGCAAGGCCGAGGCGTTGGAACAGCTAGAGAAATGGACCGAGGCCGCACAGACCTGGAAGCTCGCGGTGGAAAGTGGACACGGAGGCAGCACGAGTATCCAAGGTCGCAATCGCTGCGAAAAGGCCGCCGGGATCAGCAAGCCCGCCGCTAATCCCGCCGCGCCTGCCCGACGCCCACCTGCTCCTGCGCCGAAGAAAGCAGCATCTGCTCTGGCCGATCTGCAAAGCTCATCTGGCACCTCATCAGAGGCCGTCACTCGCTTGCGAGCCGCCAACCAGGCGGCCGAGCGCGCCGACGAGGAGAAATTCGCCTTGTCGGAAAGCGTCGATGCCAAATTGGCGGCGTGGAAGGGCGGGAAGCAAGACAACCTTCGGGCCTTGCTGGGCAGTCTGGATAGCGTGCTCTGGCCCGAGGCCGGCTGGAAGAAAGTCAACATGTCCGAGCTCATCATGCCCAACAAGGTCAAGATCCAGTACATGAAGGGCATTGCCAAAGTGCATCCCGATAAGGTGGGTAACAACCTGATATGTTCATGCCTCATGATCGTCTTTCAGCAACTGACTCTTCATCTAGATCCCCACAGATGCCACGACCGAGCAGCGGATGATCGCCGGTGCAGTCTTCGGCGCCCTAAACGATGCTTGGGACAAGTTCAAGAAAGAAAACAACCTGTAAAATAAAATACATAACCTCGGTTTTCGCCCATCAGTTTCCCTCCGATCCCCCATGATTACCTTTTCTCCTTGTCAGCCCGGCCTCAGACGCTTTCCCAGATCCCTTGCTTGGGTGCTAAGTGATCTCATCCATGATGTTTTTCAACATACACAAATTTCATATTCTCCCTTTTTTCTCTCGTTGTACTCTGACGGCTGCTGACGACGAAGCTCCATGAAATATTTTCCCATTTTAGCATTTTATTTCTCTTGTACATAGATAGAAACTAGAAACGGGGGCCGGGGGTGGGGCCCATTGGGCAGGGCATCCATCCCCTCGTGTGTGAGTTTTTTTCTGATGGCATGAAGATGAGATGCAC